TGAAAAGTAGCCGGACGTGCAAATTGCAAGGTGAAAAAAAAAGGTGTGAATTACCGTTTTTTTTGCTACCTACTGTATAATTATTTTCGTTTTTTGAACTGAAAAATTAATGTTAGGTGCTTTATTCGGTGGAAGGTTTGAAGGAAAAGAATTTTCCCTGCGTGTCCCATAAATATCGTGATCCGAGAAAAAAAAACTTGAGCTAGACACCGTCGATGTAATAAGGCGTCGTCTCTAGTCGAACCGACCATTGTCTCCTTTATTGCCTTTTTCGCACGGCTCTCCGATGACTTCCATGAAAATTAATTTCGGCTGCATTGTGAGGTAAATTGTTGGGGAAAGATTTATTTTTAAGCCGTCGTAATTCCCCGTGGACCGCGCGGGCGCTTCCTCTTTTATTTTCGCTAGTTTTTACACATGATTAAACCCTTGACTCCGATTCTACCTTGTTCCGCGTTTAATTCCCTTCGCTTTTTGCTTCGGTTTTCGGTCGCGGGCTATTTAATAAATGGCCTCTAACAACGACCCGGAAAAAAATTGTAGCGCTTCGTGCAAACAACTGGAATGCTACCTTTACTAAACCGGACAAGAATTTGAATAAATTATATTTTTCTCGTAGTTTAATGTTAAATTTTGGTGGACGCGCCAGTACTGCGCCATAATTTAAAATCCTGTCATAAATCTTCATAGGTGTGTGAAGTTGGCACCGCAACTTTAGTTCTCAGTAGTTCTGATTAGAGTTCTGGATTCCTTTTGGATAGTTTAGGAGTTCTTTTGTACAAAAAATAATAGTTCTGGTGTTTTAACACATTATTTTTTTAAACAAAACATGCGGTGCTAACTTCAAACCTAAATTTACAATGGAATAGTTATGATTAGTTAATTTGATGTATTTTGATGAGTTCTAGAGTTCCTGAATATTAAAAAATAATAATAATAAATTTCATCAATAAACAAGTTATAAACAGTTAATCAATTAGATATATTATCAGAGAATCCATAACTTTTTAATTATTGAAACATTCGCAAAATACCATTAAAGTTTCTTGTAGAACTCGTCGAGTACTATTCAGAACTGTTATCAGAACTTCTGAGAACTCTCAAAAAATGTTCAATCTCGGACTTGTATTTTTTTTTGTATCGAAGTGATTTTTGAGAATATCTCAAAAACTATTGTTTTAATCGCAAAATACCATTAAAGTTTCTTGTAGAACTTGTCGAATACTATTCAGAACTGTTATCAGAACTCCTGAGAAATTTTAATTAAAACAATAGTTTTTGAGATATTCTCAAAAATCACTTCGATACAAAAAAAATACAAGTCAGAGTTTGAAAATTTTTTGAGAGTTCTCAGGAGTTCTGATAACAGTTCTGAATAGTATTCGGCGAGTTCTACAAGAAACTTTAATGGTATTTTGCGAATTTTTCAATAATTAAAAAGTTATGGGTTGTCTGATAATATATCTAATTGATTAACTGTTTATACTTGTTTATTGATGAAATTTATTATTATTATTATTTTTTAATATTTAGCAACTCTAGAACTCATCAAAATAGATCAAATAAACTAATCAGAACTATTCCATTGAAAAATTTAGGTTTGAAGTTAACACCGCATGTATTAATTAAAAAAATAATGTGTTAAACACCAGAACTATTATTTTTTGTACAAAAGAACTCCTAAACTATCCAAAAGGAATCCAGAACTCTAATCAGAACTACTGAGAACTACAGTTACGGTGCCAACTTCACACACCTACGCGCCAGTACTGCGCCATAATTTAAAATCCTGTCATAAATCTTCATTGTCTCTTTAATCGAGTTATAAGTAGTACACAGTAAATAATTCTTATCGGTGAAACGCGTTTATCATTCGTAATAAAATACTTTTCGACCAAGTTCCATCCATAAAATTTCAGGTTTATATGTTTACGTTTGGATTTCGCCATCATAAATCCTGCCGCTATCTCCGACAATCCGAAAATTCACAATAAAACACCTTATATAATATATTTTATATTTAGAAGGCCGCTCACCGCGTGCATCCAGGAGCTCTCCTAATGATAGTCTCGTCACTTGTAGACAATCCTCTCGACCGGTATCTTCGGTGAAAAATGGCGATCGTTCATCAACACGTCCGGACTCACATAATTCATTCCCAGTATGTTTCCCATACTTGCAACTGCGGGATAGCGATCATCTAGAAACTTACTCTAATAAATAGAGCTGCTAAAAGTACATCTATATTTCGAGTGATTCAATATTTTGATCGGCTATTTTATGTTTCGTTTTTATGGGATTTTCGTAATTAGAAGAATCAGAACAGAGAGCTAAGAAAAAAAATCTTACAAAATAATTTCCTCAACTAGTATAAAATCTCGGCAGACGCGGAAAATGCTTTCGAAATGACTCCCCGAAGAGAAAGAAGCCGTTCCTCTCGGAACAAAAGCTGATAACGCAGCCCCTACTCGGAGCCTTTTTAATTTTTTTCCTTTTGTCTTTAAACCTTTTGTAAACAACAATATGAAGTTGAGCTCAGTTACTGTTTATTCTATCCGTTTTCACGGCGAACGCTTCTTTTAGCGGTGCAATACAAAACACGACCGTTCTTGTTATTTTCTTTCGTGACAATAAAAAAAACATTTTCAATCTTATCTGTCATTTCCAGAACCATCTGGGATTCTGTAGGCAGGTAGTTCGAATGTTTATGTGTTCTTTGGGTCGAGTTCATTTACGGTTTGTTCCATCTCTTTTACCAAATTTCATTGTTCCTTTGACGAGAGATGGGATGATTTGAAACCATTCAATTCTCCTATAAGAAGAAATCGATATTTTGTTAATTTTGATAAAAGGATAAGTCTATTATACTGCCATGTAATCCACTCAGGACCTTTTTATTAAGTAATATATAAACCTGGAATATGTTTATGGCAACAAAAAATACCATATTTTACATACCTCTAAACATTACTTTGAAATTAAATTCACTCGCGATAGAATGTCAGGAAATTGATTGAAAATTACTATAAGTGTAATGAATAAAGGAGTTAATTTATATGAAAATCAATTCAAATATCAATTTTCTCCCCATTATTAAATTCTCTTCATTGTAACCCCTTCCTCGTCGCAAAAAAATGATTAATCTCTGAAAGTAATTAATTTTTTTGCCTTAACGCGAACGTTTAGGTAAAAGTTCCCATTAATAACATCCAGAAAATAATAGCCGCCCCGTAGAAAGTAAAGCGAAATTTTTAAAGTGTAAAAGTTTTATTATTATCAATTTCTCGCGAAATTCCCGAACTCGGAGTCGCCAGAATAAAGACTCTTATCCATCAAAGAGATTAAAACAAATATTTTAATTCTGCCGGGCAATTCCTGGTTCTCTTTCGAGAAACGACGCCTCATAAATTAGGGACGGTGGAGAAATCTACCTGAATAAGGAGAGAAATTTGTTTAATCTGATTTTCTTTTATATTCCAATCTGACGCCTTGTACGATTTTAAATTAGTACCTAATTTATTTTTTATTTATTGCTATTAGTTGGTTAAAGTTGGAAATATAAATAGAAACAAATAAGGTCTATAAACGTAAATGATAGGCAGTTTTAAAACGGTAATGGTTCCTACACAAAAGCCTAAAACAATACAGAAAAAGGCTAACACAACTCGCGGGCTTTTAGCAACAACATAAACTTCCAGAGATCGGTTTTACATAAACATAAATGTCTCAACTTCGCTGACGTCGAAAAATACGCTTTTCAGACTATCCGAATCCGCTGCATTTCTATTTTCTGTTTTGCGGTTTTGTACAGTATTCGTTAATAAATTATGTGGATTCCATTTCCATACATATATGCCTTAATTTCGGACGTTATGTGCACGCGAAACCGCTGACGATATTTAAAAGGGTTTAATAAAAAAGAGCGAGACCGCCGTATATTGTGTAATAAAAAACTAATTTTCTTTTGTTCGTTAATTTCATTTCGTACATCCTCTGGAATTATTACATCGGGCGTGCCATGTTTGTAAAAACATTCATGTAATATTTGAGTAGCCTAGTATCAAAAGCAGCCAAATCCATTTCGGTTCATTTTACAGGAGACGCGAAAAACTATTATAGTTTAGTATTATATTATTGTTTTATTGATAATAGAGATGGCAGGAGAGTCGGTGAAAAATGTTTTAATAACGACAAAAACGACATTTGTTAGTTATGTTGGATTTAAAATTGGAGATAGCTCCATTTGAAACCAACATGTGGATTTGTCGACTTATTTTGAAAATGACTGTAACGGACTTGGCTCATTTAGAAAATAACATTTACCACTAATTTAAAAAAAAAACTTCCAAAAATCTTTAATATCAAATTAAGTTTAAAGTATAAAACGAAATATGTATTGCAAGATAAAAATATTTATATTATTAAATCTGGGGACTCCTCTTGCACTTCACAGCAACTTTGGTTTTGCTCAGGTTCATGGTCTTGATGGTTTGCTGGAATTTCTGGATTAAACCATTTTTCCAAAACATTTTTATAGTATGCCAGATTTTCAAGAGATTTCCAAGAATGCCCATAATGTTTTCCTAGTAATACATGAACATCTCTTAGTTTCAATTGCTTAGGTTGCACTCCCATTAAAACTGTACTAGGACGAATGGAACTCATCAGTTTTCCCTTTTTGCACCAGTTTTACCTTTTGGTAAATTTTTCCTGATGCTATTATATGCCTCTTTCTATTAGAGCTTGTTGATAATTAATAATTTGTATTACAACAAATTATTTTGAAACTTGTAGTTAACAACTTTTTTTTAGAATAATTCCTTCATAAACCAACCGTATTTTTAATAGTAATATTTCTGTTCGTTGTCCATGATGAAATTGGGGCGCTCCTGATGGTACGAGGCAATAACGCTAACGTAATAAAATCCCGTTATATGAATACGATCTTTTTTCTTTTTTTCAGAAATCCTGAATACGAAAATTAGGCCGGCGAAATTGCCATGTTCCTGCTATTGTTTTGGGGAGCTGCGCTCGGCCTGACCTCTGGTGAGTAAACGGGTTTTTTTTATTTCGGGTTAGCGCAAGTCAGATGGCGCGTCGGGGGCGGAGGAGAATGACTTTTTGATCTTTTTCGTATACCAACACGTCAAATTTAATATAAGAGGAGAAGGGCCCTTTGTATTGGAATCTAGTTACAAAGGGTATAAAGCTCCTGGAATTCTGAAAGATTAATTAAAATTTTACCTTAGTGGAGTTTTTTTATTCGGCTTGATATTCGGTACTTTTTTCATAAAATTAATTATACAGGGTGTTTCACAACTTATCCGACAAATTTTAACCACATATGCACTGTTACGAGAGAAGTTAATTTCCCAAAAAAAAATGTAATAAAAGTCTTACAGAAATGGAGATAATAAAATAATAGTTTAACAGTTCAATTACTTATACAAGATGTTCAAAATTGTTCCCATTTACTGCAATGCAAGCTTGGGTGCTTGTTTTTTTTTTGTTTTAACCATTATTTTGGTGCAACATTTGCTACAGTAAAGTATTAAGGCAAAATTATGAACGCAAAATGCAGTATTTATTTTTCAATTTTTTATTGAAACTCGGGTTTATAATTTTATTTCTGTAGGACTTTTATTACATTTTTTTTTGAGATTTCTCAAAGAGAGAGAAGTTGATTTCTCAAAAAAATGTAATAAAAGTCCTACAGAAATAAAATTATAAACCCGAGTTTCAATAAAAAATTGAAAAATAAATACTGCATTTTGCAAAACAATGGTTAAAACAAAAAAAAACAAGCACCCAAGCTTGCATTGCAGTAAATGGGAACAATTTTGAACATCTTGCATAAGTAATTGAACTGTTAAACTATTATTTTATTATCTCGATTTCTGTAAGACTTTTATTACATTTTTTTTGGGAAATTAACTTCTCTCGTAACAGTGCATATGTGGTTAAAATTTGTCGGATAAGTTGTGAAACACCCTGTATTATAAGTTTAAAGGCACAAATAAAACGTTGGTATACTTTAGTTATCAAAATCGTAAACAATAATCGGAAATAATATGAAACAATTCAATGCGGAATGGTATTTAAAAAATCCAATTGAGCAATAATATAAACCATTTTAATGCCTCATTGGTAAATAATTATTCTTTATTACCCATTCACTTTATTTATAGCACTTATTTATTTTTATGTCAACGGGAAATATCTTATTTATGAGGTTCGCAAAGTTATTTCAATTGGTTACTTAACGATAAATCAGCAAACGTTGTCTTCGGGAACATAAATTCGCTTAACGAGAAGTCCATTCCAGAGTATTTTCGCTGCAATTATTTTACCTTCGAATTATCTTTGAAAAATTAGTTTTAAATTGAAACAAAAGAGCACCCAGTATTATTTGCGAGTAATTAATTTGTCTACGCTGGACCATGTCAGAAAATTGTTTAGACTAAATAGATAACCTTCTGGGCAATAATTCAATGTTAAAACGCCGAACAATCGTTAGGGTAGTTTTCGCTGATAACAATTCCGAAGTCAGGCCAATAACATTCCAATAATGAACATGTTTCGGGCGTTAAGACCGCAGCATGCGAGTTATTCAAATGAAGAGATCCGTCCCTTGTCCCTTTCGACCCCACGAATAGGGCGAAATACTTTTCGAACAGAGGACTGTGCAGCATTATTAAAAAAAATATTGAACCAAAAGATACTACGTAGCAAACAAAACAAAAAGTACAAATATTTGTTTGGAAATTACCGATAAATAGTCCCGGTTCCGCGCTCATTTCAGAATAATTAATTCAGACAAGCAGTCAAAACTTTGGCCGAATATCTCGAACAAAGTTTCCCGTACGGGGGTAAACTTCGCCGGGCCGAACTTGTTCGAGCAGTCGGAGATATTGAATATTTAAAATACACATTCTACATGCACGTTTTCGATTATCTCCGCGCAAAATCGCCGTATTCGGGAATGAGGCACGCAAAAAGTTTAATAAAACTTTCGCATCCGTATCATTAAAATGTTACGCAACAAGTAACTCGGAATTGTTAAAGCGCTTTAAGGATTCCGCGAGGATAATTCCGTCTTCACAAAAGTGAGAAATGTATGGGCCCTTTGTCGCATTTAATGAGATACAATCCGATTTGTATTAAGCTCAAATCTAACAGCGATATTCTCATATTCTACACTTACAAAAGATTTTTACAGCTTTGGTTAACTTTCGAAGTAACTCAAGTCAAGTTCCGAACTACTGATGAACGTGCACTTGAATCCCGATAAATAATTGAGGTAAAAGATTGCACAATAGACCTATTCAGTTTTACCTGTGCTGCGCGCGCATACTGTGGATAATTAAATTGACATCTAAACGAACAAACGAACGCACCTCAGGTACAATACGGTTCTGACCATAGAGAAAGAAAGATGAGAGAGTTCGATCTCTTACTAAAAATTGGCAACGCGTAGATGGTGCTGTTCCTAGTGGCTGGTCCCACGAACTAATGAAATATCGAGTAGATTTCTTCTATATTTCAAAATTAAAAATGGGTTATATATTCAATTTTATTTTTATAATATTGCTATATTGCAAATTAGAAAATAAGAACAACTTTTGTTAATAAGAAATGTATTTATTTATAAGATATAAAAAATTGAATACATACATATAACCTAAATAGACAATACAATACATACAATTCAACATTTGAACATCATTCGACAAAATTAATAACATTTGACACTAATAACAAAAATATAAATAGAATACGTATATAATACATGTGGAATAGAAAATATAATAGAATAAATAGAAACGTAAAACAAATACAACCTTGTTACTTCGAAGTCAGATGAGTCAGATCCCTCAGTTCCCAGGGCCTACAGCGTCCAATTCTTGTAGAGCTAACTAAAACAGAAAAAATATGAGCAGCATCTAATTTAGGAAAATAACAAAAACAGTGAGATGTATTAGAAAAACATAGAAATCAAATATTATAAGTAGATAGCTATGTAGAAAAATGATCTTCACAGAGTCTCATTTGTTTGGATGAATGAGGCAAACCTATAAATAATATCCTATAATATCAAACCATTTTTTCTTTCACTCAAATTTGAAGGGAATTTAAAAAAACGCTTTTGAAGATTATCTTCGGGGGGACAAATTTACAAGTTTTTGCATCTTGGTGATGCACATTTACGAACCTTCCTTCGAATTGGTGTTGACATTTTAAATTTGCAAACAAATATAAATATAAAAAATAAAAATACTCACAATTTAGGTTAAGCACTAAAATGGCGTCTACATCACTAACGAAAAACGAAACTCACTTAATTAAAACAACGGACGGGCGACGACCGACGACCCGCGATTGCGATCGTTTCCATACGGATCTCATATAAAATTAGCCAATCAAAACAATCGAAATTCATTTAATTTTTCGATAGCAGCGCCTCTAACGGCTGGTCTCCGTTCTAAGGCATGTTGTCGACTTTGTCCTATGCATTAAACAGTCTCTTTTATTTTGTCTATGGTTCTGACACCAGACAATGACAACTTAAGACATACTTCTGACGTCATTTGTCATTATCAAACAATCCGTCGGATTTAATTTGTAATGGACTCGATACAAATTTGTTTTTACCGCCCAGAAAGGGATTAGGGTTAAAAAATATATGCAGGTCAAGTCTAAGAAAGAGTAAGAGGTTAGTACAAAGTTTCCCAAAATGCTTTTTGATCGGCTAGCCATTTTATATATCAAAGAATTAAACCCATTGACCTATATAAAAAATTATAACCTTTATAAATAAATATACTAAATAATACAAAGAAATACTGTTAAAAAATAATACACACTGAACATAAACAAACATCAAACGCACAGCACACATCCAATAGCAGGTTATCTCCTGTAGTAAAAGACAAAACTATATTATAGTACCTTGCCCAGTCGTATAGTGGCAGTAGTATAGCTGAGTCTGAATTTATGTATGTTCTGTGCTATGAACTGTTTATGTTCTGTGCTATGAGCGGGTTGATGGTTGATTATTGATTGTCGATCGTGTGTTTTTAACTACTTAGATTTGTGAAATAATTAACACCTAAAACACTATTATATTAAATACAAAATTCGCAAAAATTCACAAACTCAAAATCCAAAATGTCAGCTTTAAGTTTGTCGTTCAAAGTCCAAAAAAGTTCAATACAAATTTGTTTTTACTGCCCAGAAAGTGGATTAGGCTTAATATTTAGATACAAGTCAAGTCTAAGAAAGAGTAAGAGGGTTAGTACAAAGTTTCCGAAAATGCTTTTTGATCGGTTTGCTATAATATATATTTCAAAGAAATAATCCCATTGACCTATATAAAAAATTATAACCTTTATAAATAAATATACTAAATAATACAAAGAAATACTGTTAAAAAATAATACACACTGAACATAAACAAACATCAAACGGAAACAAGAAACAAAATATGGTTAAGATTGAAGATGGTCTCTTCTTTTTTATATTTAATACAGTTTTCATCTAAGGATCATTCAATGTGTCTGTCAATCAGCAATGAAATAGACCAAATATCTCATCTTTCTTGCACTTACGTTTGCGCATATTTTAAATGGTTCCACAGATTGCGCGTGAAACATATTTGCTTCTTTTATTCTCTTATGTTGATCAAATAACTCCATCACTCTCTTTCGTAAACTGAATAGGTCTATTCCGATAAATTTTTCACCGTTCAGTCGCTGTAAGTACGCAGGCTTTTTGCAGTGCGAAAGCGCCCGGTTTTCGCGCAACATCCATTTCCCGATATAATGATAAAATCCTCAGAAGTAATCGCTTAATGGACCGGATGTTGACGTTGCATCGCCCGGCAATTGAACAATAAAACCAACCACTCGACACAACCGAAAGTAGGCCAATAAAAAGGACGAAAATCGTACGGCTAGCGACGCTCCTGTATAAACTTTATTTCGAAACGAACGGTGTGTGTTCGGCGTTCGCGGAATCGAGAATTGAAAAATTTTTACCTTTTTCCT